TTTTTTTTTACCCGCAGTTCCCCACTGAATGTAAAAGAATTGCCAGTAATTAAAATGTTAGTAAAAAAATAGCATGGGGTCTCCCCATCCATATCAAGCCCTTCGGACCTGGTATGGATTTTGAGGGGAACCCCCCACGCCAAAATTAAAAAAAAAATGAGTATGCATCCCGGAAAAAAAAAAAAGGGCAGACTTGATGGACCACTTGGTCTTTTTTTCTGCTCTTTTCTATGTTTCTATGGTGGACATGCTAATTTTTTTTGGGCTACGACATACTGCATAAGACAACAGGAATCTGAGAATGTGTTACCTGAGGCTAGTAGAGATCAATGCTATCACCCTAATCAATGTTTCCATTACAGACTGCTGAGGTCTGAGGGCCACACATCACATACCAAAGGGCCACCAGGTTCCTACGGGAACAGAGGTCAGTGACTAAATACATTCAATACAAAATCATACCAATAAAACATTGTCATTGTCAGTGCTTTTTATTTATTACACAAAAAAGAATCTATCATGCCATAGTTCTTGATCGGATACATTTTTTCCGAAGGAAGCTTTGGGTCATCACCAGCGACACCGTTAAATGACCATTCCACCCAAAACTGTTTTCTGTGTTATTAGCTGATGGAGAGTTAAAAACCATCTCTTCAGTTTCTGCACAGCTTCTGTATCCATTATTAGGGTCTCTCTCTGCTTGATCTTTATATTATATTACAGGGGTCTCCAAACTTTCTAAACAAAGGGCCAGTTTACTGTCCTTCATACTTTAGGGGGGCCGGACTGGGGCCAGCGGGAGTAGGCAATGTCTTGAGCTTGGTTGTCAGTGGGAGTAAAAAAAATTACATAGCGCCTGTAGCCAGTAGGAGGAATATTCATCTATCATTGGAATTAGTGGGAGGAATAGTGTCCCATCATTGGTATTAGTTGGAGGAATAGATCCCAATCATTTATATCAGTGGAAGGAATAGTGCCCTGTCATTGGTGTCAATAGAAGGAATAATGCCCCATTGTTGGTATCAGTGGAAAGAATGGTGCCCCTTCATTGGAATTAGTGGGATGCATAGATCCCATTCATTTATAGCAGAAGAAGGAATAAGGGCCCATTATTTGTCTCAATGGGAGGAATAGTGCCCCACTCTTGGTGTCAGTGGAAAGAATGGTGCCCCATCATTGGTATCAGTGGTAGGAATAGTGCCCCATCATTGGTATTAGTGGGAGGAATAGTGCCCCATCATTGGTATCAGTGGAATAGTGCCCCATCATTGTAATTAGCGGAAGGAATAGTGCCCGATCATGTATGTCAGTCGGAGGAATAGTGACCCATCATTTGAATTAGTGGAAGGAAATGCACCCCATTGGTATCAATGGGAGGAATAGTGCCCCATCATTAGTATCAATGCGAGGAATAGTGTCCCATCATTGGTATCAGTGGGAGGAATAGTGTCCCATCATTGGAATTAGTCAGAGGAATAGCGGCCCACCGTTGGTATTAATGGGAGGAATAGTGCCCCATCATTAGTATTAATGGGAGAAATAGTGCCCTATCATTGGTATTAATGTGAGGAATAATGCCCCATCATTGTTATTCATGGGAAGAATAGTGCCTCATCATTGGTATCAATGGAAGGAATTGTGCCTCATCATTGGTATCAGTGGGAGGAATAGTGCCCATCATTGGTATCAGTGGGAGGAATAGTGCTCCATCATTAGTATTAGTGGGAGGAATAGTGCCCCATCATTGGTATCAGTGGGAGGAATAGTGCCCCATCATTGGTATCAGTGGGAGGAATAGTGCCCCATCATTGGTATCAGTGGGAGGAATAGTGCCTCATCATTGGTATCAGTGGGAGGAATAGTGCCCATCATTGGTATCAGTGGGAGGAATAGTGCTCCATCATTGGTATCAGTGGGAGAAATAGTGCCTCATCATTGGTATCAGTGGGAAGAATAGTGTCCCATCATTGGTATCAATGGGAGGAATAGTGCCTCATCATTGGTATCAGTGGGAGGAATAGTGCCCCATCATTGGTATCAGTGGGAGAAATAGTGCCTCATCATTGGTATCAGTGGGAAGAATAGTGTCCCATCATTGGTATCAATGGGAGGAATAGTGCCTCATCATTGGTATCAGTGGGAGGAATAGTGCCCCATCATTGGTATCAGTGGGAGGATAGTGCCCCATCATTGGTATCAGTGGGAGGAATAATGCCCCATCATTGGTATCAGTGGGAGGAATAGTGCCCCATCATTGGTATCAGTGGGAGGAATAGTGCCTCATCAATGGTGTCAGTGGGAGGGAATAGTGTCCCATCATTGGAATTAGTCAGAGGAATAGTGCCCCACCATTGGTATGAGTGGGAGGAATGGTGTCCCATCATTGGTGTCAGTGTAGGGAATAGTGCCCCATTATTGGAATTAGTGGAAGGAATAGTGCCCAATTATTAATGTCAATGGGAGGAATAGTGTCTCATAATTTTTATTAGTGGGAGGAATAGTGCCCCATCATTGGTGTCAGTTGGAGGAATAGTGATCTATCATTGGTGTCAGTGGGAGGAATAGTGCCCCATCATTGGAATTAGAGGAATAGTGCCCTATCATTGAATTAAAGGAATAGGGCCCCATCATTACATAGCACCTGTAGCCAGTAGGAGGAATATTCATCCATCATTGGAATTAGTGAAAGGAATAGTGCCCCATCATTGGTGTCAGTTGGAGGAATAGTGACCCATCATTGGTGTCAGTTGGAGGAATAGTGGCCCATCATTGGAATTAGTGGGAGGAATAGGGCCCCATCGTTTGTATTATTGGGAGAATTAGTGACCCATCATTTGAATTAGTGGGAGGAAATGCACTCCATCATTGGTGTCAGTGGGAGGAATAGTGGCCCATCATTGGTGTCAGTGGAATGAATGGTGCCCCATCATGGGTATTAATGAGAGGAATAGTGCCCCATCATTGATATTAGTGAGAGGAATAGATCCCAATCATTTATATCAGTGGAATGAATAGTGCCCTATCATTGGTGTCAGTAGAAGGAATAATGCCCCATTGTTGGTGTTACTGGGAGGAATAATGCTGTTGGTGTCAGTGGAAAGAATGGTGCATCATAAGAGTAGGGGGAACAGTGCCCAATGAGCTGGATAAAGGCTAGTAAAGGGCACATTTGGCCCAGGGGCCACAGTTTGGAGACCCCTGTTATACAGAGAATGTAAGAGGAGGAGCTGGAACACACAAATATCAGCAGGTACACTTACAAATAAAAATAGCAGGTGGCCAAGAAGAGAGTTATTTTGGCAAGAGATCTCACTGTAGGAGTATATACAGTTGTGTTCAAAATAATAGCAGTGTTTTGAAAAAAGTGAATAAAGCTCAAAATCCTTCTAATAGCTTTTATTTCCATACACACAAATGCATTGGGAACACTACACATTCTATTCCAAATCAAAACATGAAGAAAAATATATCAAATTTGTGTTGTTCCTCTAAAAAAATTGAAAAGTGAATATTAGACTGTTCAAAAAAATAGCAGTGTTTGTATTCTTCTTTACAAACTCAAACATTCACTATATAAACTGAAAAATGTTTGAAGATTTTGCTTTCCTTTGAATCACTTAGTGAATATATAGTTGTATAAGCACTGTTTCTGAGAACTGCTGTACATCTGTGTTGCATGGAGTCAACCAACTTCTGGCACCTGTGAACAGGTATTCCAGCCCAGGATGATTGGACTACATTCCACAGTTCTTTTCTATTTCTTGGTTTTGCCTCAGAAACTGCATTTTTGATGTCACCCCACAAGTTTTCTATTGGATTAAGATCCGGGGATTGGGCTGGCCACTCCATAACGTCAATCTTGTTGGTCTGGAACCAAGATGTTGCACGTTTACTGGTGTGTTTGGGGTCGTTGTCTTGTTGGAACACCCATTTCAAGGGCATTTCCTCTTCAGCATAAGGCAGCATGACCTCTTCAAGTATTCTGATGTATTCAAACTGATCCATGATCCCTGGTATGCGATAAATAGGACCAACACCGTAGTATGAGAAACATCCCCATATCATGATGCTGTGCACCACCATGCTTCACTGTCTTCACAGTGTACTGTGGCTTGAATTCAGTGTTTGGGGGTTGTCTGACAAACTGTCTCCGGCCACTAGACCCAAAAAGAACAATCTTACTTTCATCAGTCCACAAAATGTTACACCATTTCTCTTTAGGCCAGTCAATGTGTTCTTTGGCAAATTGTAACCTCTTCAGCACGTCTTTTTTTCAACAGTGGGACTTTGCGGGGGCTTCTTGCAGATAGCTTGGCTTCACATAGGGGTCTTCTAATTGTAACAGTACTCACAGGTAACTTTAGACTTTCAGGTTTTGGTTGCCATTTTAAAGCATTTGCGATCATTTTAGCTGTGCAGCCTATCATTTTCTGCACTTATTTATATGTTTTCCCCTCTCCAATCAACTTTTAAATCAAGGTACGGTGTTCTTCTAAACAATGTCTGGAACGACCCATTTTCCTTAGAATTTCAGAGAGAAATTCACTTTAACTGGCATGTACAACATTTGCTGCCTTCCTTCCTTAAATAAGGGCAATAATTGCCACCTGTTTTTCAAAGAATGAATGACCTCACTAATAGAACTCCACACTGCTATTATTTTGAACATGCCCCTTTCAATTAGTGATTCAATTACACAGAATCAGAATCAGCAGCATGCATGTCATGACTGTTGGGTCTGTTGGATTTCTATTACTCTACTACACCTGCTAGTAAATTATTTGCAATGTAGAAATATAATTTCTACCAAAAACAGTGATTGATCAGGTTAGTGATGTCTGACTGCTATTATTTTAAACACAACTGTATATATATATAACGTTTATAGGATAGGAAATGACTCGCCCCACTGGGCTCTGCTAAAAACTAAAGTATCCTATTAGGGGTAGATTGGCCCTCGATAACAAAAAGAGAGACATCTGTGGCTTTACACTTTTCACTTAGTAGTCACATCCCGGGCCAGGATCCTCCTTTTTCTTGTGGGTTTTGAGATGTGATGCAAGGGAGGACTTATGTATATATCGTTTCCCACAATCAGAACATGAAAATGGCCTCTCGCCTGTGTGAGTCCTCTGATGCGATACAAGACCTCCTTTCTTGTTAAATCGTTTGCCACACTCGGAGCAGGAAAATGGTGTCACAGCCGCGTGTATTTTTCTGTGAAGAGCAAGGTTTGATCTATTGGCAAAACGTTTCCCGCACTCAGAGCATGAATATGGTTTCTCCCCCGTGTGAGTCCTCTGGTGTGCAATCAGTTCGTTTTCCCATGAAAAACACTTCCCGCACTCCAAGCAGGAAAACGGCTTATGTCCAGAGTGGGTGGCCTGATGGTAAACCAGGTGGATCTTCTGGGTGAAGCGTTTGTTACAATCAAAGCAGGAGAAGGGCTTCTCTTTCGAGTGTGTCCTACGATGGATGGTGAGGCTTGAGCTTTCACGAAAGCCTTTTCCGCATTCTGGACACAAATACGGCTTTTCCCCTGTGTGAACTTTCAAGTGGGTACCAAGGCTTGAACTTGAGGAAAAACATTTCTCACATTCGGAACATGAATATGGCTTCTCCCCAGTGTGAGTCCTTTGATGCCTCACAAGGTCGGATTTCTGTAAAAAACATTTCCTACATTCAGAGCAGGAAAACGGTTTGTCGCCAGTGTGAGTCATGTGATGTAAAGTAAGGTAGGCTCTCTGTGCAAAACGTTTCCCGCACTCCGAACAGGAGAAAGGCTTCTCGCACGTGTGAGAACGCAAATGGATAACCAGGACCGACCTTTCCTTAAAACATTTTCCACATTCAGAACATGAATATGGTTTCACCCCCGTGTGATTCATTTCATGCGAGGTAAGACGGGATCTCTGCACAAAACATTTGCCACACTCGGAGCAGGAAAAGGGCTTCGTGGACAGGTGGGTCCTCGCATGGATAAGCAGAAGGGACTTTTCGCTGAAGCACTTTCCACATTCTGAACATGAGTAGGGCTTCTCTCCTGTGTGAACTTTTGTATGGATGGAAAGAGACGCTCTTCGGCTAAAACATTTCCCACATTCGGCACAAGAAAACGGCTTCTCCCCAGAGTGAATTCTCTGATGCTGAATGACATCAGACCTCTGCATAAAACTTTTCCCACACTCGGGGCAGGAAAACGGTTTCTCGTTGGTGTGCCTCATTCTGTGTCTCAGGAGATGAGAGTTTTTAGTAAAACATTTCCCGCAGTCAGAACACGAATATGTCTTTTTCGTAGCATGACTTCCTTGGTGTGAAGGGAGGTCCTCTCTCTGCGCAAAACCTTCACTCCAACTGGAACACAAGAATGTTGTACCTGCAATAAAAGCTGTATGATCAGTGGCATGAGATGAGCCATGGGTTGGGTCATATGACAGATCTGTATTGTGAAGAAGTGTGGGAAGTGAGTTTTCTTCTGAAGAATCGGATGTGATGTCCTCGTCTTCTATTTTGCCACCTAGTAAGATAAACGGATGTTTCTGATTATTGTACAGTTTGTGTTCTCCGGGGGGCCAAAACTACACATACTGTAGATAGAAATGGCTGAATTTGTTAGAACGTCAAAATCAGAACCATAAAAGCAAGTAGATGGGAGTGCTTTTTTATCATTCCATTTTGAAACAAAGAGAATGCACAACAATCCGTGGGAATGCCTAAAATAAAAATGTTCCAGATTTCCGTCCACTGCCCCAACCATACAAGTAGTCCACTCATCATGCCCCAGTAGTAACAAGATACAGTACAGAAGGTTTCAGTGCTGGTATTATTTGGAATAGAGGTCCCAGTGCTGAGAGCGAGACCCTACCAGGAAGTACCCCTTGCACCTACCCTCCCTATAACCCCCGTATTAACCCTTCCTGTAACTCCAATACTAACCCTCCCCTGGAACCTCAACACTAACGCTCCCTGTGACCCTAACACTAATCCTTGTGAGTTTCCCACTAACCCTACCTGTAAGCATATCAATAGGCCTCACTGCAACCCAGAAAATAACCATTCTTGTAATTTTCATACTAATCCTCCCTGTACCCCAACACTAATCCTCCCTGTAACCTCAACACTAACCCTACCTGTGACTCTAACACTAATCCTTATTGTGAGTCTCCCACTAACCCTACTTGTAAGCATATCAATAGTCCTCACTATAACCTGTAACCCAGAAAATAACCATTCTTGTAATCTTCATACTAATCCTCCCTGTACCCCAACACCAATCCTCCCTTTAACCACAAAACTAATCCTCCCGTACATTAAGCCCCTCTGTAACCCTAACACTATCCCTCCCTGTGGTCAAAACATAAATCAGCCCTGTAACTCTAACACCAACCTTCCTTATAACCCCAAAGCTAACCCTCTCTGTATTCAAACTAACCCTCTCTGTATCCCATCCTCCCTGTAACCCTGACAATCCCTCCAAATCTAACACCAACCCTCCATGTAACCCCAAAACTAATCATCCCTGTAATCATCCCTGCTCCTGTAACCCTAACATTGAGCCTCTCTGTAACCCCAACACTAACCCTCCATTCAAATCTAACACTAACCCTCCATATAACTTCAACACTATCCCTCCATATACTGTAACTCCAACACAAACCCTCCATATGACTCTAATACTATCCCTCCATATAACTCCAACACTAACCCTACATATAACTCCAACACTAACCCTCCATATGACTCCAACACTAACCCTCCATATAACTCCAACACTAACCCTCCATATGACTCCAACACTAACCCTCCATATGACTCCAACACTAACCCTCCATATAACTCCAACACTAACCCTCCATATGACTCCAACACTAACCCTCCATATGACTCCAACACTAACCCTCCATATAACTCCAACACTAACCCTCCATATAACTTCAACACTAACCCTCCATATAACTCCAACACTAACCCTCCATATGACTCCAACACTAACCCTTCATATGACTCCAACACTAACCCTCCATATAACTTCAACACTAAGCCTCCATATAACTCCAACACTAACCCTCCATATAACTCCAACACTAACCCTCCATATAACTCCAACACTAACCCTCCATATGACTCCAACACTAACCCTCCATATAACTTCAACACTAACCCTCCATAATAACTACAACACTAACCCTACATATAACTCCAACACTAACCCACCATATGACTCCAACACTAACCCTCCATATGACTCCAACACTAACCCTCCATATAACTCCAACACCAACCCTCCATATAACTTCAACACTAACCCTCCATATAACTCCAACACTAACCCTCCATATGACTCCAACACTAACCCTTCATATGACTCCAACACTAACCCTCCATATAACTTCAACACTAAGCCTCCATATAACTCCAACACTAACCCTCCATATAACTTCAACACTAAGCCTCCATATAACTCCAACACTAACCCTCCATATGACTCCAACACTAACCCTCCATATAACTTCAACACTAAGCCTCCATATAACTCCAACACTAACCCTCCATATGACTCCAACACTAACCCCCTCATATGACTCTAACACTAACCCTCCATATAACTCCAACACTAACCCTCCATATAACTCCAACACTAACCCTCCATATGACTCCAACACTAACCCCTCATATGACTCTAACACTAACCCTCCATATAACCCCAACACTAACCCTCCATATAACCCCTAACCCTTCACATGACTCCAACACTAACCCTCCATATGACTCCAACACAAACCCTCCATATAACCCTAACACTAACCCTCCAAATAACTCCAACACTACCCTCCATATAACTCCAACACTAACCCTCCATATAAGTCCAACACCAACCCTCCATATAAACCTAACACTAACCCTCCAAATAACTCCAACACTAACCCTCCATACGACTCCAACACTATCCCTCCATATGACTCCAACACTATCCCTCCATATGACACCCAACACTAACCCTCCATATAACCCCCAACCCACTAACCCCAACACTAACCCCCAAAAACCCCCAACACTAACCCTCCATATGACTCCAACACTAACCCTTCATATTAATCCAACACTAACCATCCATATGACTCCAACACTAACCCTCCATATAACTCCAACACTAACCCTCCATATGACTCCAACACTAACCCTCCATATGACTTCAACACTAACCCTCCATAGGGATCCAACACAAACCCTCCATATAACTCTATAACTCCAACACTAACCCTCCATATGACTCCAACACTAACCCTCCATATGACTCCAACACTAACCCTCCATATAACTCCAACACTAACCCTCCATAGGGATCCAACACTAACCCTCCACCAAACTCTATAACTCCAACACTAACACTCCATATAACTCCAACACTAACCCTCCATATAACTTCAACACTAACGCTCCATATAACCCCAACACTAACCCTACATATACCCCCCTAACCCTTCATATGACTCCAACACTAACCCTCCATATAACCACCCAACACTAACCCTTCATAAAACTCCAACACTAACACTCCAAATAACTCCAACACTAACGCTCCATATAACAGTTGTGTCCAAAATTATTCAACCCCACTGAAATTGAGTGTTTTGGCCAGTTTGACATTGCTTTTGATCATTCAGTCATCTTGCTTACATTTACATTAAAGAGGCACTTGTAGGTCAGACAAATATAACATAACAGTTATAATGAAATAACACAAATGTCTTTTTTTCTGTGCTCACAGCATTATCAGTTTTATTCAACCCCCAAGTGACATTCAATCTTAGTACTTAGTACAGCATCCTTTTACAGTTATAACAGCTTTTAAACGTGAAGCATAGCTTGACACAAGTGTCTTGCAGCAATCTACGGGTATCTTCCCCATTCTTCAATGGGCAAAGGCCTCCAGTTCAGTCACATTAACTTAGGCTTGCGCACTGCAAACTGCTTTCTTTAAGTCCCACCAGAGGTTCTCAATCGGATTTAAGTCTGGTGACTGCGATGGCCACTCCAAAATGTTCCAGCCTTTCCTCTGCAATCATGCTCTAGTGGACTTGGAGGTACCCCTTGGGATCATTGTCCTGTTGAAAGGTCCAACGTCTCCCAAGCCTCAGGTGTGTGACTCCACTGCATCACGTTTCCATCCAATATCTCCTGGTACTGAAGAGAATTCATGGTACCTTGCACACGCTGAAGCTTCCCTGTACCTGCAGAAGCAAAACAGCCCCAAAGCATGATTGACCCTCCACCATGCTTCACAGTAGGCAAGGTGTTCTTTTCATCATAGGCCTTGTTCTTCCTCCTCCAAACATAGCGTTGATCCATGGGCCCAAACAGTTCTAATTTTGTTTCATCATCAGTCCACAGAACACTATCCCACAACTTTTGTGGTTTGTCCACATGGCTTTTGGCATACTGCAGTCGACTCTTCTTATTCTTTGGAGACAGCAAGGGGGTACGCCTGGGACCCTGGCACGGAGGCCTTCATTACGCAGTGTGCGTCTTATTGTCTGGGCTAAAAACTTCTGTACCCACATCTGACAAATCTTTTCTCAGTTCCTCAGCAAATATTACCCTCCCACGGGGACTTCTCTCCACTCTACGCTTCAGGTACGCACACAGCAGTCGAAGTCAGCATCTTCTTTCTGCCACGACCAGGTAGCGTTTCAACATCAACCCTTTGCCTTGAATTTGCAAAAAATGATGCTTCCTAAGGTGTCTCTTGGTATGTTAAAACATCTTTGCAATCTTCTTATACAACCATTGCCCTTCCTGTGAAGAGAAATCACCTCTTCTCTTGTCTTCCTGGACCATTCTCTTGCCTTCACCATGTTTTACTTATACCACACCCACAGTAAATGTCTAGAAGGAGCTGAGTATCACAGTCATTTTAAAGCGCCTAATTGGTGCTTATTATGCTTGATTGCTGCTCGGTGACATCCACAGGTGTTTTCAATACCTGATGGAAAGCACCTGTATGAACCTCTGTTCTTCAGAGTGGTAGTCTTTAAGGGGTTGAATAATTGTGGCAATGAAGAAACCACATAAGAACCATTTACTACTGTATCCCTACATAAACAATTGATGTCATTTTAGTAACAT